CTCCGAGTACCCCCTGAGTAACTCCCAGCTCCTCCCCCTCCCTCTCCCCACCTCCATCCTCACGTGAGTATCTCCCCCTACCCCCTCCTCGTAAGCTGTGAGTAGCCTATGAGTAAGCTGTGAGTAACCTGTGAGTAACATATGAGTAGGCAGTGAGTAAGCCGCATGTAAGCAGTGAGTAATCTATGAATAAGCCATGAGTAATCTGTGAGTAGCCTGTAAGTAAGCCATGAGTAGGCTGTGAGTAACCTGTGGGTAAGCACTGAGCAACCTGTGAGCAGGCAGTGAGTAAGCCATGAGTTAGCAGTGGGTGAGCAGTGGGTGGGTGCGGGTGCTGGGGGGCGCTGTCTCTCCCTGTGCGCGGGCAGTGAGGTAGCAGTGAGTAACCTGTGAGTAAGAAGTGACTAAGAAGTGAGTAGGCAGTGAGTAACCTGTGAGTAACCTGTGAGTAAGCAGTGAGCAGGCGCTGACGCGCTCTCTCTCCCCGCGCGGGCAGTGAACATGAGTAAGCAGTGAGTAAGCAGTGAGTACGCTGTGAGTAGCCGGCGGCTGACAGGCGCTTTCTCTGTCCCCACGCGGGCAGTGAGTATCCTGTGAGTTAGCAGTGAGTAAGCAGTGAGTATCCTGTGAGCAGCCAGCGGCTGACAGGCGCTCTCTCTCTCCCCGCGGGGCAGTGAGTAAGCAGTAAGCAATGAGTTAGCAGTGAGCATCCTGTGAGTATCCTGTGAGTATCCTGCGAGCAGGCGGCGCTGACGCGCTCTCTCTCTCCCATGGGCAGTGAGCAGTCAGTTAGCAGTGAGTATCCTGTGAGTTAGCAGTGAGTTAGCAGAGAGTAAGCAGTGAGTATCCTGTGAGTATCCTGTGAGTATCCTGTGAGCAGCCGGCGCTGACGCGCTCTCTCTCTCCGCATGGGCAGTGAGCAGTGAGTTAGCAGTGAGTTAGCAGTGAGTATCCGGTGAGTAAGCAGTGAGTATCCTGTGAGTTAGCAGTGAGGAAGCAGTGAGTTAGCAGTGAGTATCCGGGGAGTAAGCAGTGAGTATCCTGTGAGTATCCTGTGAGCAGCCGGCGCTGACGCGCTCTCTCTCTCCCGCGGGCAGTGAGTTAGCAGTGAGTTAGCAGTGAGCATCCTGTGAGTTAGCAGTGAGTATCCTGTGAGTATCCTGCGAGTATCCTGCGAGCAGGCGGCGCTGACGCGCTCTCTCTCTCCCGCGGGCAGTGCTGAACCAGCTGGAGGAGCTGCTGAGCGACATGAAGGCGGACGTGACGCGCCTGCCGGCCACGCTGTCCCGCATCCCGCCCATCGCCGCGCGCCTGCAGATGTCCGAGCGCAGCATCCTGAGCCGCCTGGCCAGCAAGGGCACCGAGAGCCACCCTCCTCCTGTGAGTGACCCCTGGGGACACTGACACCCTGCCCTGGGGACATTGACACTGTCACACTGCCACCCTGTCACCCTGCCCTGGGGACATTGGCATTGTCACCCTGCCCTGGGGACATTGCTCAGCCACCCCAGGGACGTTGTCACCCTGTCACCCGGTCCCAGGGACACTGCCCACCCCCTTGGGGACACCAGCGCTGCTCTGGGGACATCCCCACCGTGTTGGTGACATCCTCGCGCCACCTTGGGGACAACTTCCACCTTGGGGGTGGCTTTGGTGACATCGGGGAGGTGACAGTGGGGGGGTGACAGCAGGAGGTGACAGTGGGAGATGACAGCAGGGGCTGGCACCAGGAGGTGACATTGTGGGCTGACCCTGGGAGGTGACCCTGGAGGTGACATTAGGGGGTGACACCGGGGGAGTGGCACCAAGATGTGACCCTGGAGGTGACATTGGAGGTGACCCTGGAGCTGACAGTGGGGGGTCACCAGGAGGCGACCCCTGGATGTGACAGAAGAGGGGGGGCAGCAGGCGGTGACCCCGGGAGGTGACATTGGAGGTGACCCCGGGGGGTGACAGTGGGGGGTCACCAGGAGGTGACCCCTGGATGTGACAGAAGAGGGGTGGCAGCAGGCGGTGACCCCGGGAGGTGACATTGGAGGTGGCAGCAGGAGGTGACACAAGGGGGTGACCCCGAGAGGTGACAGCGGGGGGTGGCAGCAGGGGTGACCCCGAGAGGTGACATTGGGGGGGTGGCACCAGGCAGTGACACAAGGGGGTGACCCTGGGAGGTGACATTGGAGGTGGCACCAGGTGGTGACATTGGAGGTGGCAGCAGGAGGTGACCCTGGGAGGTGACAATGGGGGGTGGCAGCAGGCGGTGACACTGGGGGGGTGACCCCAGGAGGTGACACTGGGGGAGGTGACATTGGGGGTGGCAGCAGGCGGTGACCCCGGGAGGTGACATTGGGGGTGGCAGCAGGCGGTGACCCCGGGAGGTCCCTCCTGTCCCCAGAGCTTCCCGCCCGGGCCCTACGCCACCCCCCCGAGCTACGGCGGCGCCTTCGGGACCCCCCCGGCCGGAGCCCTCCCCCACCCCGGGGGGGCCAACTACAGCCAGATGCCCCCGGGCTCCTTCATCTCCGGTGAGGGAAAACGGGGGCCCCCGAGCTACGGCGGCGCCTTCGGGACCCCCCCGGCCGGAGCCCTCCCCCACCCCGGGGGGGCCAACTACAGCCAGATGCCCCCGGGCTCCTTCATCTCCGGTGAGGGAAAACGGGGGAAACGGGGGGAACGGGAAAAATGGGGGGAAACGGGGGGAAACGGGAAAAACGGG